TTAATATTCACGTAAAATAACAGGCTCTTAAGATTCCTTTATGTTTTAAATAGATTAGACTGATAGTGTAGTTTTTTTCCTGATTCACTAAAAGTAACTGGTTCCTAAGAGTCATCTATTTGTGAATCAACCTACAATGTCTGTTTTTGAATCACTAAAATAGCTTATTTGTGAGAGTCATTTGTCACACTGATTATGCAGTTCGTTTTTGGTTCATCAAAAGCAACTGCTTCATAAGATTTATTTGTTCGTGAATCAGATTACACTTTGCTGTTTGTTTTTTATTACTTTAAAATAAGTTAATGTTAATCAGACTACAGTCGTACAGTATAATACAAAACATTTTTTATTAATAAGACTACATACAGAAGGTTGTGCTTTGTTATTTGATTCCTAAAGAATAACTGATTCAATAAACATTAGATTATTTATTATTAATTCTACTGTGATTATGTGGTATGTATTTTTTTTTTTTTTGATTAGCCTAATTTATTATTGGACTACACTGATCATGTAAAGAAAAAGTTAATTAATAGTTTCCATATATATTTACGGTTGTGAATTGCATTATGGGAGTTTCATCTCTGCTCTGTCTGCTTAAGCTGATTTATACTTCTGCGTTAATCACACACATATGGTGCGGCACGGTTTGCACGGTTGCATAGCACTCGACGTGGCTGATGCCAATGCTGATGCTCACCTCTAAAAAAGCTCTGTGATTGGTTGGCTTGGTATTGGTGACGAGTGTGAGCGGTGCTGAGAGCCACAAGCCCAATGGAGCGAGTGTTTACAAGTGTCGAGTCCCATGAAGGAGCTTCAGATGGAAACTTGTGTTTTGTGTTTACCTTATGATTAAAGTTGTTGCTCGTCTGTCGGTTCCCACCTCTGAATGAGTGAGTTTTACCTAATTGTACAATAAGGTAGGGTTCAGAAAAAAACAAAACACCCATGAAGAAACTCAACACAGAGGAACATAACATAACCTACTGCCAGCTTGCGTGTCGGAAATGTTGTTGCAAAGCAACACAAACAGTATTCAGATGTATAAATGCAATGGTTCACGCAAGGCAGGTGCCATGGGTCACGGCAATCACTCGACGCAGAAGTATAACTTAGCCTTAGATGTTGAAAATCAACTCTACACTTTAACAAAGTGAATTTTATTGACATTTTAGTTGTTTGAAATGATATAATATATAAGTAGTAATATAAATAAATAAATCTGTAAAACAAATTGTACTGGCAAGGTTTTTGTACTGTAATTTACAGCTCCAAACCACACAATATATCACTTTAAACTATTAAAAATGTTAATAAAATTCACTTTTTCAAACTTTTCAAGGTTTAAAGTTGCTGGAAGAAAGATCAAGGCCCCATAATGCAATTTAAAAGAACAAATGAATGGAAATATTAAAACAGGAATCACAAAATTATGAAAAACTGCTTTTGCTTCATTTATAAGTCATGAACCAGACTATACTGCTTCACAAAAATGATTTGTTAGAGTCACATTCATATGAATCAGACTCTTTTCTGTCTTTTTTTTCATGACACTCTCGGGATTTAGTATGAATATGTTAATGGAAATGTTGATGGTCTTGGTCTTGGTGGTATAGATCTGTTACGCTGCTGCTGCTTTGATTATTATGGCAGAGCAAGTATCAATACCTTCTTCTGCTAGTTTATACAAAAAATTCTAAGCTGAGAATATAACACACTGCTACTGCAAACATTATATATATATAAATAATATAGAAATAACCCCTATATTAGCAGATCTTAACACAGGTGGAGCTGGGGGGAAGGAGGGTCTTCAATAGTATGCCGCAGCTTAAACGCCGTAGAATGACACAGAGCTTGTAAGCTGATGAGGAGCAAGCTCATTGGCTGCCGAGGTGACAGCAACCAATCTCCTGCGCCATGTAGTTAATGACGCAGGAGCAGATTAGGTGACCTTTCAGTAGAGTTTTATGCCAGAAATTTCACATAGGATTAAATTCTGTCCATCTGTAATTACAATTCAATTGATCTGATTTTATGTGTGAGGAAAGGCAGTTCAGCACTGATCATCTTTTAAGAGCTCTGCCTCTCCTGAATGTAGTTTTTGGCTCCATCACAAGTGAAATGTTTCTAGGAAATAGAGCTCCTGTGGCCGACAGCACTGAAGTGAAGAGCGCAAGCTTCAGATTTCTGACAGTCTAGACCTTCCACAGCGGAAAAGTCTTTTGAACAGTCGCTCCATGGCCAAGTTGTCTGGCATTTGCGCTCAGGTCAGCGCTTCTTTCCTGTGGCACACACAGATATTCACTCCTCATTTGCTAAACTCAGAGAGGCAGGAAATGAGATCAGCTGGATGTGTCTTAATTGAAGACTGTGGTGCTTCTGATTCCAGCTTTCGTTCTGACTGGCTTTTTTCATTCACTCTTTCTTTCATCCCAGTATAGAGCTTGTGAAGTTTGTGTAGTTAGACACCCTGGGAATTGACACACAATATCCTCCTCCAGTGGCTCACATAAGAGGACTCTGTTATCCGTTCAACAGCAGACTTTTCATTTGCCCATTACGGCCTTCTGGAGGCATATAAAACCTGTTTGTATTGATGCCGCTGAGAGGGATGTTTTTCCAACAAGCAAGCGGATACACAAAAAAAGTGTCGAATTTGAGGACTGAACTGTGTAAGATGGTGTTTATATACTGTAGCCTCTAAAATGAGCTCTCTGTTTTTCCAGGTCTTTAGGGGTGAATTTCAGCTACCTGATTTTCTTAAAGAACAGACACAGGTATGGTAGATATTCTGCCTGTCCCTATAAGCTCTTCATTAATGGCTTTGTCTTTATTTTGTTCTTCCTTTTTTCGTCTCATCTATAGCCAAAATAAAATGGTAGCAATTTGAGATCTCCATCTGCTTGCTCTCACTCTGATTTTATTGCTGTTCACGTCATTTCTGATCGTAACACTGGTTAATTGATCAGGTGTCCTGCGGTTTTCTCCTCTGATCTCATGTTTTCAATTCCCGATCTAATCACTGTAGATGTAGATCTGTGGCCTCATTTTCCACTCGCAATAGTCGCAGTGTGTTCTGCTGGTTAGAAGGTGTATAGCGCCCCCTTCTGGAAAGATCATGTAGATGCTTTTAATGATTCTTTTTAAAGCTCAAAATAATCTGAAATAAACATAAATAAGGCGGAACACACCGGATTTCATGTTGAAAGTGGTTGGAAACACAATAATAATAACCTTTATACTGTGAAAATGTTTTACTGTCACTATTTTAGTCATTTCATTTAGTTCTAAAAGAGTTTACTAAGGTAAGAGGATCATTGTTTGGTCATCTAAAATTAATTAAATGGTGTTGCTGAGACATTTTAAGGGGTTTTTCATAAAGGAATTAAATTACCTTGATCTCCAAACTGGTGTTTTTTTCCCATTCTTCTGTTGAACACAAAAGAAGATATCTTGACGAATATTGGCAACCATTGATTGCAATTGACTCCCATAGTATTTCCTCCATTATGCTATGCTTTGTACTTACTGCTTCTGTCACTCCTTACTAACATTGTTCAGGATACCTTTTTTTGTAGCCAACAGACTGAAGAAGCTCTTAAGAGAAATAGAGGTTAAATAAACACAAACAAGACTTTATTGGTATTATTTAGGGCTGCATGATAATGAAAAAAATCAGACATAACAATGTTGTATTTTACTTCAATACATATATATATATATATATATATATATATATATATATATATATATATATATATATATATATATATATATATATATATATATATATAGCGATATTAGTACTATTTCTGCAGATTATTTGAAAAGCTCTATTTGAAATGAAAACATCAATTTAGATTGACTGAACTAATTAGACTGACTGAAATAATCTGGTGTAGTAGTGAATCAAACAAATTCGCAAGCATAAATAAACAAGATGGAGCAGTTTTCCGAAGAATCAAGCAGTAGTCAAATATTCAGGTACAGTAACTGAACTAGGCATGGGCTGGTATAAGATTCTGACGGTATGATAACCTTAGATAAAAATATCATGGTTTCACGCGTTTACCTAATTGTTATTACTGCTCTAAAATATATTCTTTTTAATTGTCTGGGTAAAAATAAACAACTTTTTTCCCTTTGAACACAATATATTTTATTTTGAGAAACATTTAAAACATTTTGGAGCAGTAAACATGTCAGGCTAAATAATTCAAATGAATCATTGACTTCTGCTCTCTTCATTAGTTTCAAAAACACAATTATTATTTTTTTTATAATTTAAATGACAACTTTGGATATCTTTTCTGTTAGAGACACTGTTGTCCTAAAAATAACAACAACAACAACAAAGTAAATAAAAAGTTGTACACATTTGAACGGTAAGAAAATGACAGAAAACGAAAACAGAAAATGTTGGTGGGTTTAAAACCTTGACTTTTCCAAACCATGGTATACTTTGAAAACGGATATCGACCCATGCCTAAATTGAACAATCACATGTAATGTAAGATAACACTGTCTTTATCACTGAACAACTATAATCCCAACTCAACATTACAGATCCTGGGATGGAAATGTTGTGAATGCACACATTGGGATACCAATGCTGAAACAATATATTGTGCAGTCCTAGTTTCATGTCCTAGTATCAATGTTTCTATGAAAAACCTTTAAAATCTGAACAACATTTTAAATCCACAGAATGCTTTTATTGTGGAAAATGGTTCTTTAGATTATGAAATTGTTTGGTTCTTTGTCAAACCGTTGACTGAGCGGTTCTTTAAGGAATCCAGAATTGTCCTTCTGTGGCTTCGCTGACACTGAGACAACTTGGTTCATTCATATTTTCACATTTTTAGAGTGTAAACGGGAATTGGAAAGTATTTTGTGAACTAACAATGAATGCTTGACAGCCACTGAAAAGGGTTTATTTGCACTTTATACAGCATTGTGTGCTGGACACATGTGTAACAGATGTTTCTTTTATCACAGCTTCAGAAGTCTCCAGAAAAGCCAAACCCAAGTTAAGAGAAGAGGACGAGTGCTTTATCAGTAGAAGTGAGTTTTTATCATATTTGCTAGAAGACTTTGCTTCCCTTTTTTCTACCACAGATAAAGTGATTTGAATTAACTTGCATACTGCAATTGATAGAACATGGGATGTTCTAAGAAAAGCATGAAAAATTGCTTTCAGCAATATTATTATAATGTGGTGATAATATTAGATATTATTATTATTATGGTTTTATCAATAATACTGTGTATACATATGTATTATACATTATCATTGTTATGACAAGCAATTAAACACACCCTTATTTACAATAATAACTTAAACAGCAATTAGCAACAATGCTCCTGATCATATTTAAGCATTTTACATATTTTTTAAATTAGTAATTTATATATACATTAACATATATGATATAAAAAATATTATATTACATGGTGCTAAATATATATTAGCCCTTCTATGAAATTTTAATGCATTTAAAATATTTCCCAAGAGCTGTTTAATGAGCGCAGTTCAAAATAAAATAGTCTTAATAAGTAACTTCTAATAACTCATTTCTTTTGTCTTTGCCATGATGACAATATTGTAATAATAGTTATTTTGCGAAATACTAGTATTGAGCTTAAAGTGCAATTTAAAGTAAATTAACTATGTTAATTAGGTTAACTAGGCAAGTTAAGGTAATTAGTCATTGGAAAACAGTGTTTTGTTCTATAGCCGATAGAACTTTTTTTTAAGATGGTATGGGAATATAAATTTAAATAATCTAGTTTCAAATAAACAGTGATATACTAAATATGAGTAGCTGTGCGATATGCCTGTATATCGGCACTGGTAAGAGGGCGTGTGTTTGCACGAGGCCGCAGTACCGCAGTGACGATATACAGCTATATCACTCTGCTACAAGTGTGATATTGTGTTTATACAAGAGTTCGATGGCATAAACATGTATATGAAAAAGAAAATCAAACCTTTTTGTATCAGGAACTACTTTCTTCCACCATTCATTCAAATCTGCAGCTGGCAGTCAAAACAGCGCCATCACTCATACACTAACGTCACTTTAGAGCTAGTATTTGAAAGATTCTCTAGAATAATATCCAAAGTGATGACAAAACAGGTGATGTTTGCTCACATTTTAAGATTATTAGGCTGAACATGATGTAATGCCACCAGTCTATACAGAGATATCCCAGTATTTCTCTTTTAGGAGGTCACAATAATTAACAAGGGAAAGCAAACACTGGCAGATTACTGTGGCATAAATGCAGCACTACAAAAAACTGGAGTTTTTCTCCCTTAAGGATTACAGTATTATGTGGTCTCTGTTGCCAGCTTTTTGCACAACCATCTTTGCTCTGCTCATTATGACCACTGTCGTGGTCGCTATGGTCACTGATCTCCAAAATTATAAATATTTAAAATAGGCACTATCCTTATAAATAAACTGCAAAGTGGAAATCTTACAGCAACATTTGTGCCTAAAAAAGCCTCAAAAGCACATTCTGTTGTCCAACAGCTGCAATATTTCGTCACTTTGGAATTATAAGGTTCTATCTGCGTTCAGAATGATTTTGAGATATTGACCTTCAATGTTTTTGCATTCCCTACATAGCAAACAGTATGTGCAAAAAAAGTCTTAAAATGTAAACAACTTATAAAAAAAACACCCCATATTGTAAATAAGTTGTCATTTATTAAGAGTGAAGAGGCTGCAAGAGTGCTGTTATTGCAGAATATCGCACTGCTATCAGCCAATCAGATTTGAGAACCAGACAGAACTGTTGTGTGTGTGTGTGTGTGTGTGTGTGTGTGTGTGTGTGTGTGTGTGTGTGTGTGTGTGTGTGTGTGTGTGTGTGTGTGTGTGTGTGTGTGTGTGTGTGTGTGTGTGTGTGTGTGAATACAAAGTTTTATCCTTTATTTTTACTTATGTCATTTTGTTTAAAACTCTAGCTAAGGTGTGAAAGTCATGCCTGTTCTCTAGATACTGCCCTCCTAAAAACACAATATATCATATAGACTGGACAGCTCTGTCTCAAATCAGACTTATTTAGGACTTTTATACCTGTAAGACTTCTTGAAAACGCTGTTTCACTGCAGAACAACCAACACGTCTAAATTAAAAAATTCTGCTTGAAACGAGTCTCCTGGACTGGGCTCTCATTTTTCCAACAGTGGCTAATAATATTGACCTTCATTTTTTTGTTTGTTTTTTAAATGTAAAAACAGCCAAGCTAAAATAAATAGGACTTTACCCAGAAGAATAAATATTATAGTAATACTATGAAAATGTTCTTGTCTTGTTAAATGTCACTTGGAAAATAGTCACAAAATTCACACAACGACTAATAACTTAGCCTTCAACTGTGTGTATATATAATCAAATCTATTAAATAGTCAAATCTATTAAGGACTGTGACAGTATTATGTAAATATTATCAGTTATGTAAGTAATAGAGACAAACAGAAATTTCCTAAGAATGATTAGTGAGTGTTCTTATAGTAAGTGAAAGCCTGATGCTGACACTCTGTGCTCTTTGACTGATCTGCTGCTGCTCTGCTGTGTTTCAGGGCTGAGGAGAAGCAGACACTGTGGGACCATGATGGACTCTAGTCACCCCGCTATGCTGGGACCTCCATGCATGGAAACACACACATACACAAACACATACACACACACAAACAAACACACACACACAGTCAGGCCGCTGGACCCGGACGCTTTTTGAGGACAGTTTTGGCCTTTGATGTTGTACTGTATCAATTGTGGCCTAAGAATGTCATTGCTGTTCTGAATTGAGTGTTTTCTTCTTTGCTTTCCCCACACTGTATTCTTTTTCACATTCAGTAATAGTTTTTTTTCTGGCTTTACATAAACCTGTGATTCTGTTATAAGAAAATACAGTGGATTAAATGAGCAACAAGGAACTATTTATGGAGGAGCGTTTAGCTTTTAGATGATGCCGTTTTAATGTGGGTTTTAATTTTTTATGCCTTTGTAATGTGCAATTCCTCGGGTACTGAATGATGTGCGGGATTACAAACAAATGGAGTGATCTGTGTGTTTGGAGAGGGAATGAACGCTGGAGGCTCATTGACGGAGTAGCGCACATCGCTGATGTTTGTTGTCGTTTTTACAATTGTTATTTTTGTACTTAAGTGTAAATCATCATATGTACTCTTTTATTTCTTTGGATGAAATAAACCCCTGAGCGCTGTTGGCAGTCAACATCAGACTCTTACATTGACAGCAGGACATCTTTACATGTGGTGTGTGGCGTTTTTGTGTGTGATGTGTGTTCGGCTCCATCTAGTGGTCATTCTGATACACTGCGCTTATTTTCTGCTTTTTTTACTTACCAAGGCTGCAGTTTTTTAAATCGCAAAAATAGTATCATGGGCACAGCACATATACTATTTTTTAATTGGAAAAAAAAACAGGTTAGCCTGTGTGGCAGCATTGTGTCACCATGAACCAGATGCATCACCTTTATCTGGTTTCGGAACATTAAAAAAAACATTCATTTTTGTTTTCTGGTCATTTTTGTTTTTATTTGAAAAAAAAAGACAAATATATATATATTTTTTTTTCCGTTTTTCACCATGAAAAAGAAAAACGCCTCCAATATTGCTTTTTGAATTTTAAATCAAAAATCAAAAAACCTCATTTTTAAATATCCGTTTCTAAAATGAAAATACACTGACCAAAATATACAAGGACCTCCCACCCATGGCCCCCACCAGAATGTTGTCATAGGGCCCGTACCGGCTAGTGGTGCCCCTGAATTACAATATATTACAATAATTAATATTATAATAATATTACAATTGATCATGAATCTTATTTGTAAGTATTATCACTAACCTTTATTATTTAAAATGAAGAGTTCAACTGCAAGTGGCATCTAAAATGGTCTCCTAAAATGAGCATTTTTTTTCTTCATCTTACTGTATTTATTCAGTTATTTCACTTTAAATGCAGTAAAAAAAAAATCACAACACATTTAGGAGACAAGAAAAAAATGCTCGTACAAGATGGCGGAGACGGCAGCTTAGTGTGTTGCAGTTTAATAGAATAGTGTTGATGACGGAATTATGCTCATATATTAGTATCAGAGACTCTCTAAATAAGAAAGCCTTATGCACTTTAAAACTTTGTGAACTGTACAATGTATTTATTTGATTTTTACATATGTATATTTGTATTTGATTTATGCTTACCCCCTGGCATGTATATATATATATATATATGTGTATATTTCTTTTTGTACTGTTAAAATGTTACAATAAAAAAAAGTTTAATAGAATAGTGACAAAAACTCCAGCAAACTGAGAAAAGATCTTTATACGATTGACAGCACATGTGCTGCAAATCCTCACAACGCATAAAACACGCTGCATTTTTTCACAATGCCAACAATTTATGAAAACTTGCTGCATTTTCACAATGTTTTGAATGGGATGGAACAAATCTGAAATGTTTGAAGGGGACCCTAAAACGTGACGGACTCTGCTATTTAGGTTATGGTTATTTAGGCTACTAAAATACAAAAAAAAACAAATCAGGATGTTAAAACAAACTAATATAAAACACCTTCCAAAGATCAGATCGTATGTTTTAGGGTCCCCTTGACACATTTCTAATGTAAGAAATTTTGTGAGAAAATGCAGCGTTTTGGTAGATTGTTTGCGTTGTGTGAAAATGCTGCGTGTTTTTAAAGTGTTTGCATTGTGAGAATTTGCAAACGTATGAAGATATGAAGATCTTTTCTTAATTTGCTAGCGTTTTTGTAATGCACGTGTTTTCTTAAATTGCAGCACTTTAAGCTCTCTCGGCCGATATTATTTTATATATATAATTATTTTGCATATTTTTTTGTGAAATTAAACAATATATTTGCTAGAAATTTAAAAAGTAACATTTATTTGACATGCAAAAATTATCTATTTTAAAATATTTTAACATTAATGCATGATTGAAATTTAAACAGCATTAACATATATATATATATACATATATATATTTATATATATATATATATATATATATATATATATATATATATATATATATATATATATATATATATATGTTAATGCTGTATAAATAATAATAAAAAAATAATAAAAAAAGAGTATATTTAAAAACAAAAAAAGTCTAATTTTCATTGTTCAACTTGTACAACAAAAATTTTAAACTAAATTTCAATAACAAAAAAGGATAATTTTTTTTTTATTTTTTTACTGGAAAAATGAACTGTTAAAAAAAGTACAACAACAGCATACCAAATATATTCAATAAGCAAACTGAAACAAATTTTTAAAAAGAATATACTTTTTTATTTCGAATCTTGAGGTTGATGTACTAAAATAACCCAAACACGTTTGAGTTTAAAAGTAAGCTTTAACAAACTAAATAAAAAATAATAGATATAAAGGCTTAATTGAGTTCATCTTTATGTAAACATCAACTAAAATTGAAAAAACACACAAATTGAATTGGAAAATAAATTAATATAACTACAATATTATTCCAACAATTTAACTGAAACAAAATAGGAAAGTTATTTTATTTTCATCATTGCCAAATTAAGATTTTTAAGATGTATAAGATGTATTGCCTAAATCAGAGATGCCCAAACTAGGGCCCATGAGCCAAAGTTGGCCCTTGGTTAACTTTTGATTTGGCCCCGCCATCCTGTCTGAGAAGAGAGGGAGAACTATGAGGATGGTGTAGAGATTGTCATTTAAATTTACTGTAACCTTTTATTTGTTTGTTTAGATTAAGTTTCAAATACATACTGTCACCTGATGGATAGAGGACAATGTAAAGACTTTGGTGAGCAAATCAAGGCTTAGGCAGATTCTGCTTGACCAATGTATTCAACATTGAACTTTACTGTGTTATCAATGTGATTATGTTTTTATCACAACAAGTAATAATTAAAAAAGTTATACAAGTTAATACAATTCAAAGTAATTACCCATGGCATTCATTCATTTTCTTTTCGGCTTAGTCCCTTTATTAATCCGGGGTTCCCACGGCAGGATGAACCACCAATTATCCTGCACATTTTACGCAGCGGATGCCTCTCCAGCCGCAACCCAACTTTGGAAAACATCCAAACACTCTCATTCACAGACATACTGTACACAACGGACAATTTAGCCTACCTAACTCACCTGTACCACGTCTTTGGACTTGTGGGGCAAACTTGAACACGAGGAGAACATGCAAACTCCATGCAGAAATGCCAACTGACACAGCCGAGGCTCAAACCAGCGACCTGCTTGCTGTGAGGCGAACATGCTACCTACTGCGACACCGCATCGCCATTACCCATGGCAGCTTTAATATAAAACAGTTTGGTATATTTATATGTGGCCCACATCTATCACAGATATTTGGTTTTTGGCTCTTCAAACAAAAATATTTGGGCACCCCAAGTCTAAAATAACTAACTAATAACATCCAAACAATAAAAACTACAACAGTATTAATACAGACCATCCACAAACTGACACTTTTAGGCAGCACAGAGGTGTTTGTCCTTCATATGAAAATGTTTTAATTTTAAGGAACAACATTTTTCCCCCCATAATACATGTACATTCAAGGTAAATGATACATCCGTTACAATACATACTTCATTCTGATGTTGGCGTCCAAACAAAAATGTACATATATATTTATTATTTATACTATATTTTAACAATTAGAAACCAGTGCACAACGTTGATAAGGGACATAACAGTCAACAAGTAACAAAGGTTTCCCACATTCAAATTGTACAGCTCTCCATGTTAGCACAGTCTCCAAAGTAAAAAATAGACAGCTTGACAGCAGAGTCCTCGTAGAAATCAGGTCTTTTCTCTTTATTTACAGTGCAATAATACACTCGGAGAGGAGGATAGCAAAATGATTCACAGTAGAAATAAAAAGCCATGTTTAGTCTGTTATACACCTGAACAACAGTCTTTGAGTTATGCATTATGAGAAGGATGACAACGCTTTTTTTTTTAGAGGCTTTGGTATACGAGCTCCTGTCGGAAGTAAACCTTTCAACCCACAGCACCAGAGATTGACAAGATTTGAGGCATCAGAAGACCACTTCTCCCATAATCTCTGTCAGTTGGTAGAAAAAACGACAGTCTATATATATTTTGTTGTTGGGGTCATTTAGGCTGTTCAGAAGTGCAAACTACTAGCACACAGAATTCATACACTGAAAAATGCTGGGTTTCACACAATCAATTTGTGTTGGGACAACATGAGGGATTTAAGTTAACTTAGTTTTTACAAATAAAACTGGACTGAACATAAAACAATTAAGTTGTCAAAAAAAAAAAACCTTAAGAATTGTGTTGATAACCCTGATAGCCAAATGTGCGTAAACTTTCTGACTAGCGTTGACACTGTATTATAGCATGCAATAGGATATTTGTTTTTCTAGTCTGATCTGACAAGGAAACGTAACAATTTTTCATTATCTTAGTTTAGTGGCTAGTTCGTACACTGTAAAAAAAATCTGTTATTTTATGTTTTTTTTTCCCAGCAGCTGGGGTGCCGTAAAATGACGGACGTTAAATTATAGAAATTTACAGTAAAATAACGGACGTTAAATGACAGAAATTTACCGGAAATTTAAATTTAAGGAAGTTTCTGTATTATAACCTCTGTAATTTTACAGTACATTTCTTACAGTACATTTCTTAACAGTCGTTATTTTACATTTTTTTCTGCAGGAAAAAAAACTTAAAATAACGGAACTTTGTACGAGTTCAGTCATTTTAAAAAGGAGACGTGGCACCAAACCCCACCCCTAAACCCAACCGTCATTGGGGGAAATGCAAATCTTAATTGTACTTAATTGTAATTGTTGACTTTGTAATTGTAATTGTTGACTTTGGACTGTAGGAAGGAACCGGGAAACATTCTTGAGCACAGTGGGAACATGTAAAGTCTGCACAGATACGTCAATTGGCCTGGTAAGGACTTGGACCAGTGACATTCTTGCTGTGAGGCAACAGTGCTAACCACTGGCCATGCCGCCATATCAAAGAAAAAGTAAAGAGGGGAAGGTGTAAAAGGGGGGATTCTTCAAAACGAATACACCTGAGGTAAGAAACTCTAGTTATTTATAGTGAGTTAGGAATAATATGGTGAATCATGTGTCAGCTAACGCGGGACCAGTTGTGGTCAATCATAAGCATGTTATCCTCTCAAAA